GCAGTTCTTAGAATTTCCAATACAATAGTGTTTATTGCTTCGAACGACCCTTGATTTTCGAACGGCGGTCGAACATTCGCGACGTTCGCCTTTATAAGGGTTCTCATTCCTTACTTTCATCGTTTAAATACATATTCATTCATCCACTCTTTCACACTATCGTTCCGAACAGGTAATAATGATTCTTATTGGACCGGCTGACCCTTTGTGCAATAGAGAGAAAAAGAGTTTTCTAACAAAGGAGTTATTACGGTTTTCCCGTTTCTACGCAGTTAGCAGGGGAATTCCCAAAATGCGAAGCACTGGCTAACTGCCTAGCGCTGATGTTATGCTAACGGCTCTCTCTCTCTCTCTCGAGCTAACCCGAGTTTTTGTGCGCTGCATGAAACTGTGTTACTATGATTGGCGTCGGTAGCTTCAAGGAGGGTCACGTAAACTATTGAAAAGAAGGAAAGAGAAACGACCTTTCCTCGCGTACCTCGCATAAGAAATCCTTGTAACCCCGAAGGGCTTGACAAGGTACACGATTCCAGGGTAGAGCAGATAAAGAAGAGAAAGCGATAGGAGAAGTCAAAAATAGAAACGAATTAAACTCAAACTCTTCCTTGTACACCCCTGCATAGGAGATCCTCGTATCCTCGAAAAGTTTGACAAGAATGTACAAGGTCGAGGAGGAATGAAAATATTGGCGGAAAAGCGAAACACCCGCCTGTACGCCCCTTACATGAGATACTCTCGTAACCCAAAAGGGCTTGATAAGGGACGCAAGGCGGATAAATTTCAAATTTTCCGCCGGGGCGTAACAATGGTAACACACTAACCTCCGGATGGTCCAGGAAGTGCTGTGAAGTCCACGTGTCCCACGATGCCACACTTAGTATCCATTCCCCCAGTGCAGTCAGGTTTGCCTGTCACAACAAAATTAAATAACATTATAGATACATTTCCTATTAGAAGTATTATTATGTACTTTCAGTATACAGGTATAACTGAAAACTTACATTCTTCTTCTTCTTCTGGTATTTCCATCCGGGTCTCTTGCTGCTCTATTTTAATAGAGGCAGCCTCTGACACTGTGTAATAAATATTTTCATTAACAGTTATGTACATACACTATACAAATTATATAAGAGTATTACCTGGTAAGTACAGTGTTGAAATTGCGGATTTAGTCAGCCTCTTTCTCATAAAGTATTTCTGTTCAACGTGTCTGCTACATATTACCCGGAACTTCAGTTTTTCAGGTGGAAGCATTAACAAATTTGGATTGTCACATGCTTCCACCCACTGCATCATCCTCTTCTTATCCTTCTTCTCCTGGGGGAAGGTGAACTTCCTCATGTATTGCTGGGTGCAGCCTCTAACGCTTTCAGCCGTTTTTTTTAAAGACACATTTTAGTAATTAAAATTAAATATATTAATGAAACATCAATGTAAACAGTTACTGTTTTCAGTAACAATTCTAAAAAATTCGGTACTTACTTCATTTCTATCTTCACCTGCTGTTGCTGCATCTCAGTAGAAATGATCGAAAAATCTGAAAAAAAAACTCGGAAAAACCTGAAAAAAACCTTACAAAATATGTTGTTAAATAATATGAATAATAATAGTAATGAAGATAAAAATAGTAAAAATAATAAAAATAATAACAATAATAGTAAAAATAATAACAAAAGTAGTAATAATAATAATAATAATAATAATAATAATAATAATATTAAGGTTCTTGAGGCTTCCGCGGTTCGATTCTGAATAAGACTTAGCTTCCGGGATGGAACCGCGTTGTTTGACGGTTTGTTGCCGACGTTTCGCAAACATTACAGTATGCTTCATCAGGGCGAGATACAACCTGATACTGGTTGCTCCCGTACAGGGTGTCCCTATTTAACCTGAACTGGACTCACTGTAGCGTGACGTTCCAGTTGAGTGGATATGACCAATCGGGTGGCTGTTTTTAATTGAATGGCCAGTCAATTAAAAAACCGGGAGGATGCTATTCCAAATTGGATATGTTTGGTATCCGGAGTCTCTATTGATGTTGTTGGGATGTTTGTGGATTTCAAGTGCTTCTCTATATTTACGTGGGAAGTATTGTTTTGAGTTCGCCAGGCTGGTGGTCAACCTTCCACAGTTGTCCTTAACAAACCCGATTATCACACCAAAGTCCTAGCTCTCCTAGACGACTCTTCTTACCGCAAAATTCCTAAAGACCCCACAGCAAAAATAGAAAGACGCACAACTTTACTAATCAAGGAAAGTAACCTCACGGACTCTGTCAAAAAATCACTTGCACCCAAAGAACCCCCCCCAGACTATACGGATTACCCAAAAACCCTAAAACCAACGTACCCATGAGACCAATAGTCAGCGCAATCAACTCACCCACATACCATCTCTCACGATACCTAGCAACCGAACTCAAATATCTCGTAAATAACGCCACTTCTCGCATCCACAACTCTAAAGATTTTGTCGAGGAAATAAAACAGATCCAACTTCATCGTAATGATATACTGGTCAGTTTCGATGTAGAATCCTTGTTCACCAGTATTCCCATCCCGGACACCTTGCAAATCATCAAATCTTCCAAAAAGATACCCCAACATCTTCTTCCGCTCATTGAACACTGCCTCACATCCACCTACTTTCTGTATCAAGGTCAGTTCTATGAACAGATCTCCGGCGCCGCAATGGGTTCCCCGATCTCCCCAATCATAGCAGATATATTCATGGAACACTTTGAAAAAACAGCATTATCCGAAGCCCAACTTAAACCAGAAGTGTGGCTCAGATATGTCGATGATACCTTCGTCATCTGGCGCCACGGAAAAGAATCCTTCCTTTCCTTCTTGAACACCCGTCATCCCAACGTACGCTTCACAATGGAAACTGAACACCATAACCAACTCCCATTCCTAGATGTTCTGGTTACCAAAAAACCCAATGGACAATTAGGATACGGAGTATACCGCAAACCCACACACACCAACAGGTACTTACACACAGATTCACACTACCACCCTTCACAAAAAGAATCAGTGATCAATTCCCTTGCACTCAGAGCACTTACAGTTTCTGACTCAACTAACCTCAACCAAGAACTATCCATTCTACACCAGACGCTCCGATCCAATGGATACACATCCCAACAAATCAATCACACCATCAAAACACTCCAAACACCTCCCAAGACGGATAGAACATCAACCGAAAGCTTCGTTAAAACTGCCTTCCTCCCATATGTTCAAGGAGTTACCGATTCCATAGGGAGAATTCTCCGCAAAAACAAAATCAAATCGATCTTCAAACCACCTCAAAAAATCGGTCAATTCCTAAAATCTCCAAAAGACCAACGCCCTTCTCTCAGCTCTTCAGGGGTATACAGGATCCCGTGTTCGTGTGGAAAAGTCTACATCGGAGAAACCGGGAGGAAGATCAGCACTCGCTTAAAAGAACACATAAGATGCGTCAAACTGAAACATGTCTCCATCTCAGCCCTAGCAGAACACCAAATAGAAACAGGTCACCAAATCCGGTTCGACCAGACCACCAGCCTGGCGAACTCAAAACAATACTTCCCACGTAAATATAGAGAAGCACTTGAAATCCACTAACATCCCAACAACATCAATAGAGACTCCGGATACCAAACACATCCAATTTGGAATAGCATCCTCCCGGTTTTTTAATTGACTGGCCATTCAATTAAAAACAGCCACCCGATTGGTCATATCCACTCAACTGGAACGTCACGCTACAGCGACTCCAGTTCAGGTTAAATAGGAACACCCTGTACGGGAGCAACCAGTATCAGGTTGTATCTCGCCCTGATGAAGCATACTGTAATGTTTGCGAAACGTCGGCAACAAACCGTCAAACAACGCTAAGTCTTATTCAATAATAATATTGAAGATAAAATAAAATTGAGATACGTCTTGGTCTTCTTTTACTGCCCACGCTATCGCTTTCAATGACCGTTAATCGACATGTGCGCCACATTTCTTCAGTTTCTATAATTTTTGAAACAATTGAACATCGCCGCGACAAATTTCGCAGGAACATGACGTCACGATATCTTTAGTTGTGTATGTTACAATCACTGATACAAGGTATGCATGTGGAGAAGCGGCATCAGCACCTCCTGGTAGTGAGGCGTAAACCTAAAATTTGCATCAAAATCACAAGAGTGGAGCTTGGAGGGCCTGATTTCTATGTCTCAGTAACTACGCAGTTTGACGAGGCAATCGTCCTAAGGGAAGGTTGACTTGTATTATTTGAAAGAACTAAATATAGCTTCCTTTGTGTGCCTCGCCTGGGATTATCTCCAAGTGCTACGTACCGACGAGGTACACAAATTCGTTATATTAAACGGTAAACTATTGAAACTATAAAAGAAAGTAAATGAACGAATTATTTTAATCTCAAACTCCTCTCTTGTGTTCTCCGTGCGGAATACTTTCAAGTGCATACGCACCCGACGGAGAGACACAAGATCGGAGGAGCGCGGACAAGAAAACGGAAAAATTAAAATAGGTAAGGCTCTTCCTTGCGCCACTCACGTGGAATACTTTCAAGTGCTGCGCACCCGATGAGGAACGCAAGGTCGGGTTAATGAAAAATAACCCGGACGTAACAGCTGTATAGAGAGCAAATTAGTGGGGTGGTGGTTGGGTTAGAATATGTGTTAATTTAGGAATATCTTGGTTTGGGTGCACTCATTTCCTTCATGTGCATGATTATGTTTCCTTATGTACAATGATATAGTTTTATTTTTGATCTTATGTTACATCTAGTAAGCGTGATGGTAGTGAAATGTATGATATAATTTGGCATTCACTTGCATTATTTTAGTTAAGGTGTGAATGGTATGAGGGAAGTTGCTAGGTTGGAAACGATATTGGTTGGGTTGAAATTTTGAAGGAATCATGATTCTTTTTGTTTATTCTGATTAAATTTTTATATACTTTATTTAGGTTTTTGTATAAGGAATGGGTTGGTATGCTTTTCTCTTGGGAGAATTATTGATTAAATTTGTGATATTTGATTGAATAACATTTTATTAAAATATTTAAGTGTACATGGTGGTATAGTACTATAGAACGATAAATCGAATTGAATTAAGATTAGAATGTTTTATTAGAGGCACACTTAAACTTAAGCTTAGATTATAATTAGAGTACATTATTGAACTTATTCTAAGGTGTTTTTCTTTTAATTTTAATTATGGCAAGTGGCAGGTTTTTAAGGGGAATGTAGGTTAGTATGAATGGGTTGGAGGGTGATTGTGTGTGAACGATTTTTGTTAACGGATTAAGACAGATATGATAGATCAGTAGGAAGGTGGTGGGTACGTTGGGGCCGATTGAGGTGGATAGGTGTTTTCGCCATTGACGGGATGTAATGGCCATCCATGACCTGGCAGGTTTGATATGGCTGATGTGATTGGTATGGCTGGTACTGTTGATATGAGTTTTATACGTATAGTGGCGGGCCAAGCTAGTGGGTGAACTCTGTTGGTGGGGGTGTTGGCCTTTTGCGGGGGCGCCTTGTGCGTGGTCTTGAAGGCGGTGTTAGAGGGCGAAGCATCCTCGTGGCGGCAGCCATTTGCCATATGGCTTCCTGGTGGATTTTGTTGATCTCTCGCGAAATAGCGGCACCTACTGCTTCGCTAATGGCCTCGTTCAGTTTCTGTAGATTGAGTCATTTATTAATTATTGTATGATTAAGTTTCAGGAGGGAGGGATTACGGTTGATTGTTGTTGCGAAAGGGAGGTTCTTTCTTTTCCCTTATCAAGGATGGAATTGAGAAGAGCGAATTGGAGAGCGTACTGATGGGATTGTTTGAAAATATGACGGATGCTTACTTGAGAGTTCACGAATATCTTTTGACACGGGCTCGGTTCTGGCAGTTCCTCTCCGTTTATGTACATGTGATGGTTTTCGTTCAGAATGGGGCTGTCTGGTTCCTCAGTTTCATCGATGGCTGGTAACAGGTGTTCCTGCATGGTTTCCATGGTGGGTTATTGTCGTTGATAGTTTGATTGGTTGTTGGTTTGTTGTTTTTATGCTACTGTATTTTGTTTTTGTCTGGTTGCTGTTTTTCTTCTAGTATGCTGTTTGGACATATGAGGGTGATTGATTTATATGAGTGACTTGCGATGGATGCTTGATCATTGACTAACTGGACGGATGAGGGAGGTTTGGAGCGTGAATGTACAGGTACTCACATTATGAATGCTGGTTTGAGTTTGTTAATTTTCTTCTGTGTGGGTACAAAATGAGAGTCCTTTAATAGGTAATGAAATGTATTTGTTGCAAATTAAACAGATATTTTAACTAACTCTGTTATAAATTTCAGTTCGCTAACTGCTTCCGATAACGCCACATACTCAGCATATGTCGAGGCCTTCGTCACACATTTTTGCTTCTTTGATTTCCAATGAATTGCGTTCCCGTACATTCGAATTACATAACCAGATGTGGACTTCCTGTCTAAAACATCACCTGCCCAGTCGGCATCTACATAACAATCTAACGCTTCGACATTCTCATTTCTTTTAAATCTTAATTTTAAATCTCTTGTTAAGTACAGATACTTTAATACTCGAAGGGCATACTTGAAATGTGTCCAATTATAACAATTTTGTATCGGACTCAAAATCATTTTCGCTTCTTTCAATTTCTACTTGGTTATTTTCGTCAAGAGTTTCAACACTTCCCTCCGATAGTCATCATTAACACTGTCATTGCTTTCTTCATCGGATGTATTCTCGTCCAGACCAATACATTTAACTCTATTGCTTCAGCTGGCGATAAATCCTTCGCCGATTCAGGACATTTTACTTCGACGATGGTATCATCGTCTACAACGCCGTCAAGAGTTGCACCTAAGTAAGGCACAACGGCATCGATGAAGAGGCCACATGGTAGTATATGAATTCCTAATTCGTCTTCTAATTGCCGCAAGGCGTTTGCCTCGTTCTCCCTTCCGTATTCGAGGGAACGCAAATTCGGTATTTGCGGATACATCATGCTCTTCAAAGTATTTGCCGGCGGTGTATCTTGTTACGTGCCGGAGGGGGCGGCTGCGTAGCCGGGGCTTAATCTCGGTTATGGTATTTAACACTGGGAGCCTAAGGAAATAGACGTGGAGACGAACCTACGTATGGCTAACGTAGGGAGCCACAGGAAAGGTTAGTATTAGGTTTAGTTTCGATTCCGCGAAGCAAGAATCTAATCCTTCTCCATACCGGTTGAACTTTGCTGACGACCCCAGTTTTTGAAACAGCGATGCTCGCACGCTGCTTCTTTCTTTTTTGTTGCTGTTTGGCAAATCATACAAAATTTATTTTTCACGCTGATATACAGCACTTTTTTCGTATGGTATTCCACGATGGCTCCTACGCCAGAAAGAGAATTGTAGTCTCCTCCGCGGTACGATCTTTTCATCCAGCTGCCATCTGCGACAACTGGAATCTACGGTATAATATAGCCTGCAAGCACATCGCCTCTTGCAATGGCCAATTCTCTTTCCTCTTTTCCACCTTCTCCCATTTCGTGTTGTGCGGCTACTTCAAAGCCATCGATTATGTCATCCTGACATTTCCCGTACATCCTTTTTGTCATACAAGACATGTTCACGCTAGAGAGTAATTCCTCCAGTTGATTATATCCACCGCCTGTAACCATTGTTGCAGAAACAGCGGCATGGTTGATATCCATAGTGCCATCATTCTTTCGAAGACATGGAATGTGTTCTACGTAATTGCACATTCGGCACTGTACATTATACGTTTTTTGTAAGCCATATTGTTGACATCCAATTATTTCAAAATGTTCAATGCCACAGCCAATAGGTGAATGTTTTGCAAGATTTTTTATTTCTTCGAATACATATGCAAAATCAGCAAAATCTATTCCTTCCGAAATTGGTTCTTTTGGCTGTTGTTGTTCGGCTTTCTCTACCACCCAATTTATTTCTTCGTCTTGATCGATGGTATTCAGTTCATTTTCTTCTGTATAGAAATCTCCTTCTTGTACTATTTCTTCGATAATTTCCATTTCTTCAACATTTCCTACGTTTTCTTCATATATTCTCTCCGTAAGAAACTCATCCGCAGCAGATGTAGTTGTGACTGTTTCTTGGGAGGTACCTGCACAGGTGCCTGCTTCCGCCGCGGTACCTTCACTTACCGTGAGGCATGCTGCCTTTTTCAACTGTTGCCTGCAAGGAAAGTGTTAGTAATCAGTACAGTGTTGCCTCGAAATAAGCAACTCGCTCGGGGTCGAACAGTTGTTTATTACGGAGCAGATATGCTATATCGTTTGATTTTGTTCTCGAAACGGGACGATGGAGAACACGAGAAACGAGTGAGAAATCGGAGGTAGCGGCAAACCATAGTGATCGGCCGAGCTGTGATGTTATTTCTTGAAAAAAGATAGAATATAACATGTTCTCTCATTTTGGCACTTCGTAAGCGCTTCCGAATGAACGTAGAATCACACGAATGAAACACGTCAGAATCGCTAATGCCAGAATGAGAAAGGATTATATATGTTGTAGATAATAATTATATCTAAATTAAGATTCTTGTTATAAATTTTAATTACGATTTGATTTTACAAGAATTGTTACTGTGGGAACTGTTTGGTTTACCACTCGCTCTAAATCTGATCGCTCTGTCGTTTATAATTGCCGATCGCTACACACGCTTCTCTTTCATTCTCCCACTCATTCTATATTGCTCTTTCCTCATCCAACCTATCATTCGCTCTGTTTGAAATACATGCGATCACTCATTCAGTGTTTCACATTCGCGCACGTTTTCTCTCTCTCTCTTTTTTTCTCTCAGGCTGAAGTCTCGGTTCGAGAATGATACAGTAAAACCTGGATATATACAACAGAAATTGGGACCCAAGCATTTCATTTATAGAATCGAGGTGTCGAATGCGGGTTCAACAGCCAAGGGTGCACGTAGAAAGGGACAGACAGTAGAGGAGAGAGAGGTCCAAGAATTCAAAGCGAGGAGCTGAAACGTATCTGTGTGACTACACTCATTCAATTACAAAACTTTTTTATTGTAGACTTTTTTTAAATAAAATTTTCACTACCGCATTGGTGAGATTTTTCTGATTAAAATGATACCGAACACGATATAGTTTGAATTATATTTATTTATTTATTTATTCAGAATACGCTGCGGAAGTATTGACTGCAAATTAGATGTTTTATAATGTTAGGAAAAGCCCGTGATTTACATGAAATCGGACAGTTTCTTCCTATTGAAAATTAAAGTAATTTACAAACTAACAATAATAATAGAATAAACAACATAGAATCGACTCCTCGGCTGCACGTAAAGGATATGTACGGTCACAGAATCAACACCTCAGCTGGATAAATGTAACCTTTGAGAACACACAGCCGACACCTCAGCTGGTTTTGAATTCGATCTCTTTGGCTTTTCGCCAACTTTTAACATCAATTTTAGCAAGTAATTACAATTCAAACTATATCGTGTTTGGTATCATTTTAATCCGAAAAATTTCACCAATGCGTTAGTAAAAGTTTCAGTAAAAAAAAGTCAAAAATAAAAAAGTTTTATAATTGAATTAGTATTAGTCACGCCGATACGTTTCGGCTACTCGCTTTGAATCCTTGGACCTCTCTCTCCTCCACTGTCTGTCTCTTTCTATGTTCACGCTTGGCTTGCCTATCAACATCTCGGCTGGAATGCAACCACTGTGTCCCAATCCCGGTTGCATTTATCCACTTGCTTTCTGGCGATTCGCTAACCCTTTCCCAAGCTCTGTAAAGCCAATCTAAAGCCGGGTATCCACCTGTATCAAACGCCCGTATCGTATCACCGTTCCGAACCCTTTTGAATAAGCAGACGTTGCGTCGTTATATGCAACGGCGCACAGTGGGACAAAACTGCTTTTTGCGATCAAAATTCTGTAACTTCGGTTCTATTGTTAATATTTTAATGAAATGGGAAGTTTTTGCCTACATTATGATACTTAAGTTGTATCAATATAAATCATATTGAACTACAGGGTGTCAAGATATTCACGTATAAACTGTAGCGCGTTCAACATCCTTCACTTGTTAGACATATTTTATGTTATTTAACAAAAATTTGACTTAAAACTGTTAATAACTGTAAGAGAAATGGATATAATAATTAAAAAATGACAAGACATGTGTTATTATAATATATTTATTATAATCTATACCAAATCATTCGTGAAAAACGTTTCGATAATTATGAAAATTTATTATGCCATGTTGCAAGGACGAAATGAAATTTTCAATGACGAATATACACGTTGCAATGATTAATAATAATAGTTAATAAGGCAGTTAACTGGATAATAATCGTATTTGTTACTGCTTTTCCATCTTCGCGCGTAGCGGCCAAGATGGGTGTAATTTCATTCAATCGCCATTTTCTTGAAAAAGTGCAAAAAAGTGCACCCGATTTTTTCAGATTCTGATAGAGGAAGGTTCACTCTTTCCTGCAGTAATAATTAAACATGTGGCAAGTTGTGGCATTTTTTTAAAATCAAACTCAAAGTTGAGATTTCAGTTAAATGTACTTCGTTTCAATCAGATCCTATTATTTAAAAAGTTGTTAACAATTTAACTTACTTTATGCACTGAATAGAATCTATACTATCCTAGTAAACTTTATCATTCATTTGAATTGTATCTTTCCGAGTACATTGAAGTTACGGGTAATATCAGCGTTTCGTTTTGACGAATTTCTACTGACTTTGAGTGCGAACCACGGCAAAACGGAAGCAAATATGAAAAAACGGATTACACTACGCTAAACTACAGTTTATTCTCTATCGATATATGTAATTAGTTTTTCAATTTTCGAATTCACGAAAATCGAATTTTGATTGCCGAAAGCCGTTTTGTCCCACTGTGCGGCGTGCTGCGGCTCGGACAACATTTCTTCGTTTCTTGATATAAACGGTTCGGCAATAGGACTGGGCCACTATATGCGAGGAGTTTCGTTTTGTTGCGTGCCGTTCCAAAGGAACGAAGGCAACGGACCCATCCGAATAATTTGTCGATTCTTTGTCGTTGCATCGAAGGAAAGGTTCATGCATTTGCACTTGACATAGCGTTTCGTGCCGTCACTTGGATTTCAATTTATTTGAAATCTTGCGGTATTATTGGATTCATTTCAAAATCGATGAAATTATTTATGAACTTCATCTAATTTAATATAGACAAATTTTATCGTCTAAATATATTTAAACAGATCAATTATCTTCGATGGTACGCTGTACATAAAACAGCAATATTAATAATCACCTGTGTGATTATTGAAAAAGGACAATGTGATAATTTTGCAGAGATTTTTCCGTTGCCGAGTATCGAAAGTTCTATTGGGCTGTGATACGGAGGTGAAGGAACGGGCCGATCCAAAAATTGTCGGTTTTTTGCCGTTCAAAGGATAGGTTCGGAGACCACTTGAAACGTAAAAACAACATACCCAGGCGAAGGCCCGAAATGCTATGTCAAGTGAAAACATGACACTTGAGGCTCGAGATAATATGATCTGCAATCGGATATAGGTAATACTAATGCAACGACTGAACTTTGTTATTTTTCATTTTTTTCTTATAAAACTTTTATCAAGATATTTGTGACGTTTTTCTGATTAAAATGATACCAAATACGATATGGTTTGGACAATTTTTATTTATAATAGTATTTGCTACAGTGTGATTCTCTTGCTACGCAAGACAAAAGCCGTGCCGCACAATGGAACCCCTGCTGTTAGGAAAATTGGAAATGATTTTTATTACATCTGAAAGTTAGAGGAATTTTAGGAATCGGTTTATAACTTAGGAAAATAAAATAAGGAAAAAATATGTTATTATGCCAGGGGTTCGAGTTTACTTAATCCGTTTATTACTCGAAGAGGTCATTGTTTATTACCCTTGTTGCTTTCATCGGACTGGTACTACTTGTGTACAATGCAAGTTCGGTACCTCCACGCGAACTAGGAGGTACCCTCGCGTTTGCAAAAGACAACCAATCAGAAAAATTCCAAATTGACCGCCTATGACGACCACTTTTCACCCCCACCACGATTAGGAAGTGACATATTTCTCATCAATACGGAACAAGATTAGTTGTCGTTTAGACTGCAGACAGACAGTTTCCATGGATTTCAG